CCAGAAACTCAACTGGACTCACCACATAAACACAATGGCTATAAGAGCTGGTCAGCGGCTAGGAATACTGCAGCAAGTAACTTACCTCGTGACCCCCCAAAGCCCATTCACCATCGACAAGGCACAAGTCAGGCGTGTGACAGAATTCTCCCCACTTGCCTTGTGATGATGCTTTCACTTTAAAAGTTTACTTTGTCCTGAGTTTTTTGAAGAGAGGTAGTAAAGGCAGAGGTATCAAACTGGCTACTGAAGATGGCTTAAGTAAACAGGTTGGGAGGCCTTGAGCTTTTTTTCTAAACAGCTTGAATGGGTTTGGCCAGCTCTCAAAGATCAGGATTTCTGGGTTTTGCTTTTTTCTAGCAGTTAGAAGCTGTTTGGGGTCTTAGAAGAGTTGAAGTTTCAGTGAATGATTCCCAGCTGCTACTTCCTCCGAAATTTCTCTTTATGTTATTTCCTCCTAGATTGGAGAACTGCATGCAAGAATCTGTGTCTGAACTTGCCTTTTTGCTATGGAGTGTGTTTATGGGATGTTAATATATTAGAACAGTTAATTAGTAATAGATACTGTATCTATTATTGAGTTAAATTTTCCAATAGTTGTTATTTTAAATTCCTCTTTCTTTTGTTTATATTGTAACTATAGCATTTAAATAAATTGTTGTTTGCTTAATGTCTAGTAGTTTGACCAGTCACATCACATCTAGAACATGCACTTCACATCTACTTTTAAAATAAGAAATAGTTAGGGTCCGGGCTACCTTCTTAAAATATTTTGAGGGGGTTTGGTCTGGTCCATAACAGCCTGGATGAGTGCAGCTCCAACAATACTCAAGGAGCTTGACACAGTCCAGGACAAAGCAGCACACTTGATTGACACTACCGCCACAAGCAGCCAATCCCTCCACCACCGACACTTAGTAGCAGCAGTGTGTACTATTTACAAGATGCACTGCAGAAATTCACTAAAAATCCTCTGATAGCACCTTCTAAACCCATGACCACTTCCATCTAGAAGGACAAGGGCAACTGATACATGGGAACACCACTACCTTCAAGTTCCCCTCCGAGCCACTCACCGTCCTGACATGGAAATTTATCACTGTTCCTTCAATGTTGTTGGGTAAAGCCCTGGAATTCCCACCCTAATGACATTGTGGGTCAACCCACAGCAAGTGGGGTGCAGCAGTTCAAGAAAGCAGCTCACCACCACCTTCTGGCCAGTCAGCAATCCCACATCCAACAGAAATGAATAAAAATAGATTTGATTTTACACCCAAGGTTTTAACAGCAAGATGAAAATAGCAGTGAGCAGCGAAAGGCCTATTTACCTGCATTAGTATCTAATCGCACCTAATTTATCTGCAATCTCCCATTCTCCCACACATAGAATCATTGAACCCCTACAGCATGTAAGCAGGCCATTCGGCTCACCGAGTCCAACCTCTGAAAAGCATCCCACCCAGACCCACCTCTTTACCTTATCCCTGTAATTCTATCTTTCCCATGGCTAATCCACCTAGTTTACACATCCCTGGATGCTACAGACAATTTTAGCATGGCCAATCCACCTAACCTGCACATCCTTGGACTGCGGAGGAAACTGGAGCACCCAGAGGAAACCCACGCAGACACGGGGAGAATATGCAAACTCCACACAGACAGCCGCCTGGGACTGGAATTGAATTCAGCTCCCTGGTGCTGCGTGGCAACAGTGCTAACCACTGAACCACATGACACCAACAATTACAGGCGTGAAAGCAAGAATGGCTACCTAGCAAGTCTAGCTCAATGCTTGCTCCGTTTGGACAGCAGTGCCCAAAATTTCAGAGTGTACACCATTAGCAGTAACTACCTGTAACCCTTTGCATTGGAAGTGCATATGTGTTACAACTCCCTGGGGTAGCAGGCTGGAAATCAGGCCCTGCTATTCTCAGAGTCATCACAGAAGTTAATGATTTTATAAAAGTGCTCAAAATTTCCTAATGCAAAGTTTTTTAGACTAAGGTTGACAGAAAGTATGGCCCAGATTTCTGTACTTAATAAGGATTACTATTTATTATAAATAATAGATTACTAACTTCAGATAAACCATTATGAACCAATGCCATATAACTCTACTACTTAAAATTCTAATCTCCTTATAAAATTCCCCTATGCACACATACTGGCAGACTCACACACACAAAAAAGTGTTATTGTGAAAGAGAAAAGCTGGGAATGTAGTTCAATAGTCCCTGTCCACAGAATTCACTGAGATGATACTTTAGGGTATGTCAGGTTCAGTTGCTCCTTGATCTTCCTTTCCCATGTACTTTCACTTTCTTGTAAGAGGCACAGCATGGCTGATTAACACTTACAATGTCTCTAACTTATTGGTTAAAAGTGACAGCAACTGAAAGGGGGATATAAACCAGCTTTCTTCAGGATTGAGGATATTTTTACTGCAGTGAAAGGACAGCTCCTTCCCTTCTAGAAATCCAATGCCTTCTGTTCAAATATTGACATCCATTAGCTATTCACATAGGTAGGCACAAGGCCTTTGGAATCGACAACTGGACACAATTCCAGAGACTGATCAACTACTTGTTGCTGGGCGAATCTCCATTTGTACACATACCTTGGCTGCAGTTCATCTACAAATAGACTTCCCCCACTACTTGAACAAACAGCACTGATAATCAGTGTCAAGTAACTTGTTTTCAAGAAGTAATCCTTCTCACAATCCTTGGTTTTTATAATGGCCCATTTGCAATTTCAATCTCCATTAAAAAAAAACAAAAGTAAAAATCCAT